AACCCAAAATGGCCGTCTCTTCGTTTCAGTGCCCTACGATCTTCTCATCGATCTCAATCTCCGGTTTCCAATGCCGTTCCGATCCAGATCTCGTCGGTTCTCCGATCGGTGGATCATCTCGCCGTCGAGTCAATGCGACCTCCGGGATCTCATCGTCATTCACCGGAGACGGTGGATTATCCTCAAGGATCTTGAGATTTCCTCCTAATTTCGTTCGTCAGCTAAGTATCAAAGCCCGTAGAAACTGTAGCAACATCGGTGTTGCACAGATCGTGGCTGCTAAGTGGTCCAACGACCCCTCATCCGAGTTACCATCGGCGGCGGCGGCGAAGAAATCTGTTTCTGCGGTTTCTTCCTCCGCAGCTTCAGCCGCCGCCTCCGCCCCAACGGCTGCCGTTCCTCCCGTCGTGCTTAAAAGCGTCGATGAAGAGGTTTTGGTGGCCGAGGAGGAGGAAGGGGTTAGGGAGATAGATAGTGTACAGTTGAATGATTCGAAACCACCCTCATTCTTAAGCTCCGATGGGAGCTTGACTGTTCATGCTGGTACGGATCCATCATTTGAATCATTTCATTGGATTTTGAATTGAGATTAAATGGGTTTTTGATGTTTTTTTTTATACATAGGTGAGAGATTAGGTCGTGGTATAGTCACTGATGCTATCACTACTCCTGTAGTCAACACATCTGCTTATCATTTCAAGAAAACTGCTGATCTTCTTGACTTCAAGGTGTGTGTGTTGATTTGTTTAATTATTGAGACTTTGTTGATTTAATGATGTGTTGAAATAAACTGATGTAATCATTGAGACTTTGTTTAATTATTGTAGGAGAAAAGGAGTGTAAGTTTTGAGTATGGTCGTTATGGAAACCCTACGACTGAGGTAGTTGAGGACAAGATAAGGTCATTATAATTAATCTTTTATAATTGCACTTGCCTTTTTTTGTTTTTTGAATTTTCTCCTGAGGATTATCTTGTTGATGCGTTTGGATTTGTTTGATATATATATATATTGTGTAGTGCACTTGAAGGTGCTGAAACAACCTTGGTTATGGCATCTGGGATGTGTGCAAGCACTGTTATGCTATTGGCATTGGTTCCTGCTGGTGGACACATTGTGACTACTACTGATTGCTACAGGAAGACAAGAATCTTCATGGAGACTTTCCTTCCCAAGTTGGGGATTACTGTAAGAACCCACTGAAACCAAATTTTTAATCACAGTTTTCTCTGATTCTTGAAAATGTAGAACCCTCAGAGATCCATTTCAACTTGAATGATTAACTTCACGTTTGTTTTATGTCCAGGTCACTGTGATTGATCCTGCTGATATCGCGGGGCTTGAAGCTGCGGTGAATGAACACAAGGTCAGTTCTGTAACATAATTGTATTATTTCTTATGGTTGGAAAGATAGTATGTCTCACAATTCATTCGACTTATCTGGCAGGTTTCTCTGTTCTTCACTGAGTCCCCGACGAACCCATTCCTTAGATGTGTCGACATTAGGCTAGTTTCAGAAATATGCCACAAAAGGGGAACTCTTGTTTGCATTGATGGCACCTTTGCAACACCTCTGAATCAGAAAGCCCTTGCACTTGGTGCTGATCTTGTCGTGCACTCTGCTACAAAATACATTGGTGGACACAACGATGTGAGTTGAAAAGATGTTATAAGTATTGTAAAAACATCAAAAGAGTTCTGTAGTTTATTAACAAAGATTGTTTCTCCTTGCCTTAGGTTCTTGCTGGATGCATCTGTGGCTCACTGAAGGTGGTTTCAGAAATCCGCAATCTGCATCATGTGTTGGGAGGCACACTTAACCCGGTGAATCACTTGACCATCTCATAAATCTCTCTTCTTACGTCTTTATTTCATGAATCTCATAAGATGTTTGTAAACAGAACGCTTCGTACTTTCTCATCCGAGGCATGAAGACACTGCATCTTCGTGTACATCAACAAAATTCCACCGCCCAAAAGATGGCCGAAGTTTTAGAGGCACATCCTAAGGTATATGCAAGATATCTTCATGGTTACTTATCTTTTGAGTAACTTTCTTGACACAAGCTCTGTATAATCAATGATTTTTCCAACTCGCAGGTGAGTCATGTATACTATCCAGGCCTTCCAAGTCACCCCGAGCATGACCTCGCCAAGCGACAAATGACTGGTTTTGGAGGTGTGGTCAGTTTCGAGGTAACGATCAACTACCAATCTAATCAAGATTTAGCATCTAATTAAGAGTAAAATGATCCTCAAAAACCATGATAATCTTTCTTTTCCCGGGTAGATTGATGGAGACATTGAAACAACAATCAAGTTTGTGGATTCTCTCAAGATTCCTTACATCGCACCATCTTTCGGTGGCGTGGAAAGCATTGTGGACCAACCCGCCATCATGTCTTACTGGTGTGTATGCGTTGGTCTTTGACAAAATTTCGATCAAATTTCCCGATTTGTTGTTTAACTAATTGGCCTTTGGGTGGTTGAATGATTAGGGATCTGACGCAAGAGGAGAGGCTAAAGTATGGAATCAAAGATAATTTGGTTCGTTTCAGCTTTGGAGTTGAAGACTTTGAAGATGTCAAAGCTGACGTTCTCCAAGCTCTTGAAGCCATCTGAAATCGCTAAATTGTCACCCGAAAACGCTGTCGTTTCTCTGTTTCCTTTTGTCTGGTGGTTTTGTTTTTGCTATCTCTTTGTTTCAGTCACGTTAATAATAATGTCTTTGAACTATTGTTCCGCGACATTTATTGTTTCGAAATAATCCTTCTTGTATTTTGTTTGCTGGGCTATAATGAATCTTAATTAATCCTCCGTGCTTGAAAATAACAAAAGCCTCCGTCTTTTATAGGTTAAATTAGATACTTCGGTGCTAGTAAACGACCAATGTGCCCATGCCTTTGTGGTAAGAACACTAAGCGTTCGAAGCCTCAAGGTCTTGGCTTCGAACATTGGTCATGAGTCATGACTGCTTCCTCTGTTTCACTCAATCTTTGATTTACAATTGGAGGCATTCTCAAATGCCTTGTCT